AGAGTTTGTGTTTTTTTTTCTTCTAAAATATTTTTCCTTTTTTTTTTTTTTTTTTTTTTTTTTTTTTTTTTTTTTTTTTTTTTTTACTGGAAAATTAAAAAAAAATATATAGAATTATGTGCCTGTGGAGATTTGTGTGAATATATTTAAATAATTTGCCTAGAATTCCCTTGGCGATCCTGTTTCTTTTTATTAGTGGAAATAGTGAAAATTGGGTTGGAAACGTTGCTTAATTCTAAAAGTTTGAAACTATTTATTATACAATAGAGATCACAGAATGACAATAAAGCTAGCTTTCTCACAGTGGATGTTTATTGACTCCTCTCTCTTCCTCCTTCCCTGCCAAAGCTAATTTACTTCATATTACAACTTCAAAAGTAAAGGTTCTTGAGCATTTGAGATGTAATTTTGTTGCTTTTTGTAGATCTTGTGAACCAGTTCTTTCAAAGACCACTTCATTCATATATGGCATATGTTTCACCTTTTTGTTTGAATGTTTCAATGAAGCTGTTATTTTCTGCATTTTAGTCTTAATCCAGTCTCTCCTTTATTATTATTTTCTTTTGACATCATTGTAAACCGGATACAATCATGTGTGTGGTTAGCCTAAAAAAAAAAAAAAAAAATCCAAAAACAGAATTATTTCAACAGCAAATGAGAAGTCATCCTAAAATGAATAGTAGATGTATGTGTCCAGTGTTTTATTTTTTTTATGCTTGAAAGAAAATGACATCCCACTGAAGCAGTTAAAATATTAATATTATGATTCTTCTTTTCTTGTGGTAGTCCATAACTCACCCATCATTTCAGGCGGGTTTCATGACACTCCCAACACTTATATAAATCTCAACAAAACCTGGAGCTCACCCACACAGTTTTTTAGTTATTTTGCCTTCTTCAGCAGTGTGTGGGTATATGAAGACTCTCCATGATTGACACGTCTCTCACTCTCTCCAGTAGGCGAGAAAAGTTCAGCAGTATTTAGCTATGAGTATTGTTCTTACTCACTAGAGCAAAGGTCAGCTTGGCACAGCTTGCCTTGGGGAAAAACCCCTTTTCCTGACCGTGTGAAACGATGAGATTGAATATCTTATGAAACTAAATCATTGTGAGCTGATTGTTAATTTGTGAGCAGCAGTAGCCGCATATGTTTCTGTCTGATTTTAATTTTATCTTTCCAGATGTCTTTTAAATACAACTTTCTTGCAACAGTAAATCCACCAAGATGGGGTGTTTGTCATTTAAAGTTTGTTTATGTCTCCTTGCAAAATAACTCTGCTTCTGGATTTGTTTTTCTCATGTCTTTCCCAGAATAGAGCTTATATGAGGTTTTCTGAACGTTTTCTTATCTCGTTTTCAAAGAAAATGTGTTACTTGGTACATGTTTCTTATCAGTTGCAGCAGAACCATGTCAGCACACAAGCGTGTCTTTTTTCTTTTCTTTTTTTTTTACTCTCATGTTTCTTGAGTTAAAAGACAAAAAAACTGGCAGTGAATCAACTGCACCCTGAAGATTTTCTGATTGCTAAAGCACTTTGTTTTGCAAACAATTTTAGTGGCAAAAATCAAATAAGCAAGATGAAGTCGGAGCAAAAGGTGTGTATCAAAAATATACTTAAGATTAAAATAAAACATCAACAATAATTTGGTTAAACAATGAGAATCCCTGTACAAGTGTTTTATTAAAGCAAACCATGCTAAATTGCTTTTATGTGTAATATTATTTTGATCTAGGTCTTTAATTTTCATCCGAAACACATTTTTATTTTAGCTCCCTCTGCTGCCTTGAGGTACCTCAATTTGTAATCTGTTGCTTGTAGCCTTGAAGCGATGCAAAGCTGATGATGCCATAGAAGATAACACTGTGGATCACACTATTTAAGATCATAGAATGATGACTAAAAGCCCTGAAATCCATTTACATTTGAGTTAAATCAGCTAAAATAATAATAGTAATAATTTCCTTCCCTGGATTAATTTTAACATATTAGGATAGAAACATTTCTAACTATACAATCATATTAAATAAATTAGAATGGGTCGCTTTAATGTGTTTCACTTAGTTAATTGAGTGACTGTACAACATTAACATTTCAATAATACTATAATTTATTGAACGTGACTCTAGTCATCTTTAAAGAAGCAACCAATCGACGTCACAAGTGTCGACATGCATAGAAGTCGCAGATTTCATTGCCAGTAGGGATACCTGCTGGTTTACATGTAAGATTACTCTTGTGTCGACTCAATCTGCATGTGTTACTTTGGGTTTGCCTCTGCAAGTTGAATATTATATCTTTGTTCACAGGAAATAATTTGATTTGTGAGTCTTTGTAAGTGTGAGACTTTCCAATAGGTAAGCATTTCTAAAGTTTACTTCGTCCTCTTTTATTATTCAAACAAACTTGAAAATCTATTTTGTGCAACGGTGCCGGTGTGCTGCTTTAAATTGTTCCAAATTACCCGTCTATCTCAAATAACCCAGAATTTGTTCCTCACAGAGCCTATTCCTGTAAACAGCTGAATATTCATCCAACCATTGTCTACATCCACTTATCATTGCAGGGTCACTCTGGGGCAGGTGCCTATCTCTAGTATTTGTTGGGCGAGAGACGGGGTACACCCTGAACGGGTCGCCAGTCCACTGCAGGAAACAACTTAATCATCAACTCCAATTGGGAAAAGTCAAAGGTTCAGCCTGAGATTTATTATAGCTGATATTTCTGCAAAACTGCTGCGAGGGGAGACATTCTGATTGGGAAAACCATTCTGGCCACAATTCAAGAGTAAAACAATTTTCCAAGCAAAGTTTCACTTCTTGCGAGATAGATTACCATAAAAGTATTTAACATGATTATCCATAGCATCTAGAAGCTTATACAGCAATGCATAATCATAATAGCACAATGACAAGGTCATGCATAAACTTACGCACAGTGGTGCACAGTTTTGAGCCTAAGCAAACAGGGGGAGGGGAAGCAGATCTGAGGGGTGCCTGTTCAAAATGATTGCCTCTAACTTGTGAAAAAAAAAAAAAAAAACATATCCTAAGTCTAGTGTGTACTCCTCAGTTTATCTTGTATCTCTGCTTCACTGTGATGCAGAGATATACAACAGCAAGAGAGATTTATTTGTTGGAGTGGTGAAGTGTAACCTCACTGCTGCAGTTTTTCCACAAAGTGTTGAACACAGAGGTGTCCTAACTCTCTGCGTCCCCCGGCGTCCATTGCCAACCCCTCACCGGTGTCCCCACAGGCTCCTTTGCCATTGACCTGTCTTTCCACTGCAACCGGCACTACAGGCTGTGTTCTGTCAGAACACCTTCCCCTTGGCCAAACACTCTAGTGCTCCCACTTTTCAGCCCCAGACTTCCACCTCCTCTTCCGCCTCCTGCCACTTCTTCTAGGGATTCCTATGTGTAACCTTTTCCCCTCCTTTGTCCCCCATGCCGTCTTTTTATGTGTTTGATCATGTATGTGTGCATGCAGGTTGTACAATTTACAAGATGTGCACTTTTTTTTTTTTTGGTTAAGAATAAATGACAAATTCTGAGTACATAATGCTGAGACAAGAACAACGTGACAAAAACACCCAAAGTAAAGAGAAATGAAAGAGAGAAACTTGTGAAGTAAGAACTATTCCCTTGGGCAAAAGGTTTAGAGGGGACAGTATACAGCTTCTTGCACATCTGGATAAATAAAGAAAGGTGAAGAAAAAAGATTTGCTTCTCCTGTATGTATTTTCCATATAAACATGGCCATTTTCCTTCTTTCTATCGGGAGAATAGAAAAGGAATGTGTTGCACTGGGAGACAGATGGTTGAAAGCAGATTTTTTTTTTGTTGGCATCAGGAAGGAGGTAGCAGGAAATGAATTAAGAAAGTCATATGACTCTAGAAAATAAAGAGATTATTTTCTGAACTTAGTGTCCCTGTTTATCCTTTGATTAAAATTGCACAGCTGTTAAAGTCAAAAACAAATGTTTCTTATAGGAGGAAACATTAAGACCTGAAGCATAATGTGACTTTTTCTCCTCAAAGTCATCAATATTGTTTTCATATTTGTGCCAGTATCATTTAAAATATTTCCTTTTTATAGTGTATAACAAAAGGAATAATGCCTCAGCTTTTTTCCACTTTCTGTAACCTTATAACTGCAAATGTCAATGAGTTTTTTATGCACAAAGTATTGCGCCATTGCACAGTAGAAAACAAACTAATCATGATTAATTTTTTTTTTTACAATTAGAAGTCTGAAAAAGTGTGTCATGAATTTTCTTTAGCCTCCTTTAATGCATATTTTACAAGGTGAACTTTCATTGTAGTTAAACCTGTAAGTCTTTAAGTCTTTATCAGTTTTGCACATATGGAAACTTTTCAATGAAGACCGTTTATGTGCAAAGCTGTCATCTCCCAAGATTTAAGAATTTCTTTTCTTCAGACGTCATCTTTGAAAAAAATGATCATGCTAGCTAAACCATCTTGGGACTGTGGATTTAACCCTGAATTTTTAAGAGTGGAACTGTGACTATAAATAAACTGAGTCGTAATTTGAGTAAGCTGAACTTAGAACCTGAACTTTTGTAACGGGAAGCTTACACAACACCGTTTCACTGTTAGGCTACCAATAACAAGAGTGTCCTGGTTCCTTTTGCTGTCTGCACAGCTAGTTCCACTCTTCAGTGTCACTTCAATTTGTTCCTACATGCGCTATGGATAAATGACATTTCTGTGCTATTTTTTTTTTATCCTCCCCTGTGAATGATAAAATGGCACCCTGAATTATTTCCACATTTAACACTATTAATTGAGCTGCCATGCGCCCCAGAAAGTGTGTTTCCCATCTGCTGCTGAAGTCTCATTCTGGTCGACCATTTGCATTCTTAAGATATCTATAGGCTAGGAGGCTAAATGTCTGTCTGTGATTGTAAATGCCTACAGTAAGAAGGTTAATTGAATCAGTTATCTGTTTACACTTTGCCCCCAATTACTGACTTAATCGTATGCTAAATCACTGAGCAAGTCAGCTGGCACTCACACTGAAAGCAGATCTGTTTTGCCAGAACATAAAAAAATATATAATTTAAAACATCTCTTCAACTAACGAGTAAATAACCAACTTTTTAACAACTTTACAACAGTATAAAAATAGCAGGATAAAAAAAAAATTATATATATTGCGGGATTTCATACTTTTAGCATGCCCAATAAAATAAAAGACATAAAGGCATTGCTTCACACACACACTGTTTTCTTGTATGATATCATAGGACTATAAAGTAAAGCAAGATATCCAGAGGAGGAATGTGAATCACCACAGACAGTTTTATTCTTGGGAACAATTTTAAGATGCTTTAATGTGCCACGTTCATCTGTTCAAACAGTTATATGCATGTAAAAAATACCATGGGAACGTCTAGCCACCATGAGACAGAAATGAGACAGGTTCTTTGTCCCCAAGATGAGCATGTTTGGTATGAAATATGCATATCAACTCCGGAACAAAAGACGTTGTAAAGATGCTGCCTGGAGCTGGTTAGAGAGGAGCTTTATCTACATAAAAATAAGTCCTTTACACATTTGGGCTGAAAGGCCATCCAGACAGAAAACAGCCATCATACCAGAAGCATGAAACATAAAAACCCAACTTTCAGTTTGTAATTCTACTCATCTGTTGTTTCTGCAAAAAGACAAAAGAAAAAGGGGCGGGGGCTCAACAGGACTTGCAAACAGTAAAAGCACACATGGAAAACAGCGAATGTAATATGTAAAGTGGGGAGAGTATCCAAGCTGAGGACACAATGTTAGCCTTGAAGTACGGGGGTGGCAGCATAGTGATGGAGGGCCTGGTGCACTTTATAAAATATAGTGATAAAAATAATAATAATAAAAAAAACATTATTAGGAGACACTTTTCATCCAGGACAAGAGATTGTTTTAGACATTTAGACATAAATGGGCCTTAAAAATAAACATTGATGCTTTTCATATTTAAAAATTTGTTAATAAGTGGCAAAAAAAAAACAAAAAAACCACAAATTATGTTTTGAAATGGCATTCAGAAAACATTGGGCTCACTCATAAAGAAAGTTTACAAAAATTGCAAAAATGTATTTTCAACAATGCATTGGATGACTATTTTTGTTAGGATATATCTTATGAACATAAAAAGATCATTTACAGTAAAATTATTAAATAGATTTACCCATGCAAACTTTTTTTAAGGAGGGAATTCTAGATGTTTTGTAGGCTTAAAGGCACAATCACATTATTTTATAAACTTCAGCTGAAACTAAAGTTAAGTTCCCAAACACACAGAATCTAATTGTGAATCCAATCTCAAAGGCTGCATGAAACACACTTTAAAATTCCGACTTTGTGGTGGAAAGTTTTGCAGAAAGAATGAGAACAGAGGTCACATATCAGCAACGGCAGGCCTGTAAGCTGCTGAGCTATCAGTACAGTAAGCCCCAACTCACTGACAGACAGTGAGAAGAGGCTTGACACGGGATGTCAGGGCGGCAAATAAATGTTTGATTGGGAAAGTGGGCCTAAAGAAAGGAAGCATGCAAAGGCGGACAAGCTGACACCACCCAGATAATGGAGCTGCCAAAGCCTGTCCTACATTATATCTCACCTAACCAAAACACAATCACAAGGAAACACAAGCAGCCCATACACAAATCGGGACACACAAACACAGGCATACACCCTTGAGATTGGTATTGAGCTTGAGAATTAGACAGCTGAGAGAAAGACAGGTGGGAAGAAGGGGAAAAAAACAGTAGCATGTAGGATAGGCGGTGAGAAGAGTAGACTTTATTGATTGGAGGCTGAGGTATAGGATCCACTTAAAAAAACGCCTCTTCCTCCCTATGTGTCACTAATCTCGGCTGTAAGCCCCTACAGCTGGGCTGTAATTTGATAAATCGTCAGCCTGTGATGAAGTGACAATTGACTTGACAGCGCAGGCGCCTTCCAGGTTCTGACACCTAATATCTAATTTGTTTTTACACGTTAAATATAAAGTCCCTTTCCACTGTGACCTTTTGTTAATGATTTGTGTTGCCCGGAAAACACTGGGGTCACGGAGAAGGTAGGCACTATTGGCACTAAAAGACGGATTGGGTGGGGGGGGTGTGGGTGGGGGGGGGGAGCGCGCTCTTGAGGCAAATGCTAAATTGGTCTGACACAATTGAGAACAGTGACCTACCGCCTTCAACCAGTTATCTGGATTGATTATGCACCAAAGTGTCTTTTTTATCGTTCCAAACCTAATAAAATCCATTCTGAGGAGCAGAGAATGTGTTCTTCATGATAATTTTCCACTCGTGCACCCGGAGACGACCATGTTGCACTTATAACACAAGACTGCAAAAGAATGAGGGAGATTAAAGGCGTTAGTGTCGAGCTGCTGGATTTGCTAGGTGTAATCTAATCACACAGCTCATTATGAAATAGGAACAGTTTGATAAGATGCACCTCCCATCTCCATTCAAACTCGACTGTAAATTAATAGCACGTTTTAAAACAAGGTGGGAAATGAAAAAAAAAAAACTGAATAAACCGTCTATGTCCGATTAATCTATGTAGCGCGTTTCACTCAGTGAACTGAGTTACTGACATAAATTAACCTTTTAATGATACTCGAATTGAATGAGTCTGTAACAGTAAACAAAACTTAATTGTGTTTGGACAGTCAGATGTACCAAAGGTTCTGTCGTTGCAGAAGCAAAACCTCAAGCATGGAGGGAACTAGAACAGGGTTAGGGAACAATAGAGAAATAATACCACTTGTCCTCAAAGAAGTTCTGGAAAACCATGAATGCTAAATGGCAAAGCAGGTCCAGCAGGAAGCAGAGTCTGAGGCAAGGCGAATTTTCCATGCTTAGACTGAGAGGAGAGGTAAGTGTTGAGTTACTGATTCAAGAGATTAAATTGTTGAGTCATTGTTCTTGTTGGTGACGAATAAGGCTTTTTTGAGTGCAATTTTGCTACAGTCCCTTTTCTTTGTTATGTAGATGGTGATATTTTAATGTGGATTTTTGAGTAGGCCATTTGTTGTATATTGAGAGTCTGGTTTTCTTTCCGTTTTACACTACAATGTGTTTTAGGTCACGACTCAATACAACAATCCATTTGTGGGTTTGGCTTGATCAACTTTAAGGTTGGAATTTACTTGTTTAAATTTGTGTTTGCAGCACACATTGCAATAAAGCTGGAGACGTTCAGGGAGTTTATATCAATTTACTTTTGCATGCTTTTACATTCTTGAGAAAAGAAGTGATGATGGCGGTATACTTCACATTCTGACTCCGGACCCATCTGAGAAAGATCAATAGAGGCTGATGTACTGCTGACTTTCAGGCTAAAGTTCTCAACTTACTAATGAGAAAACTTGAGGCAGAGAACAGGCTTTAGTAAGAAAACAAGTCACAACACCTTTTTAGCAATTGTCTCAGTTAGTAACTTGAAAACTTTTTTTTTTTTTTTTCTCAGACGATGATGTTCTATTTGAAACCAAAGGTTTGTGAAATTTAAATACAAATCAGCAAAACTGCTAAAACGCAATTTTTTGGAACGATACCTCTTAGAAATTACGTACGTAAGTTCCCACTAGAATCTTGTGCAGTCTCACTACAAAAACATACACTAATCTAAAAAAGTTCTAACAAAAGTTTAAATCTCTTATTTATTCATTTATCTTAACTGTTTTGTTCCTTCTAACACTGTTTACCGTGCCATCATGTGAAAAACATTTTTTTTATTGGCTCTGTCCCTTTAAATATTGTGCCTATTGTTTTTTTTTTATTGCAGCAGTATATGTCAGAGCATTGGGACCCTAGGGACGTATAAACAAGTCTATAATCACTTCTCCTTTCTGAATCCCAGCTGAATTCTTTAACAAGACTCTCATATAACAGCATGTGAACATTTTCAGCAAGAGATACAGAGATCAGATTTATCCGCACTATTCAGTTCAGGAAAGGAGTAATGCATGATTCTGATCGAAAACATTTTTATTGGTCTCATTTGTTTGTTTCTGTTCTTTCATATGCTTGTACTTGAGTCGTATGTCAAACTAGTGATGTAAAAAAAATTAAAAAAAAATAAAAAAATAGTCCTGGATATTTCCATACAGTAGTTTATCCTCAAGTCTGTACTGAATCACTCTCTTAAGGGAAAATAGTTCCAAAAGATTATCCCTCAATGTATTTTATTTATGTGAACATTTTCATCCCTTTTGGTAATGCTTAAAACCTGCTCTAATTTTACTGTATATTGGCCGCATGATGGTGTCATTTTTTGACATAACCAGGATAATGAGTTCCACTATAATAATCTGCCCCATTAAAATGATCCCATTTTATGGGTTAACTTGACTTATTTTAAAACAAAAACTTTGCTATGTTTAATGGCGTATTCAGTGGACATTAATGTGACACTTGACTGTGATTGAAGCCTCTTCTGAATCAGTGTTGTAATGTTCGTATTAATCTTTGATGGTCCATCGGTGGTTTTGATAATCGTTCATTAAGCTTTCTCTTTCAGTCTTTTATTATCAAATGAAGTGATAATAATAAGATAATGATTGATCTTAGCCAGAGATAGAAATAATAAAAAAAAAAGCTGAGAAAATTCTGAGTCGAAATGTGCACAAGAGATGAAAAGTAACCTTTTTCTTTCCTAACGTGTGAAAATATGTTTTGGTCACACCCAAACTGCATAAAACTTAAGGTTTTAAAATAGTATTTTTCATCAGATAATTTATTATTTAAAATAGACTATCCGTAGGTAATTATTTCTAAAATACAAGTCACAAAACTTTACAGCATAGTACTCAGCTGGAAAGTGATTAAAATCCTGAACGCTTCTTGTGAGGAATTATGGCCCCACATTGGACTTTCCTGATTGGCCTTGTTAGTGCAGTTGATGTAAGGTGCTCCGAGACCTTCAAATTGCTATCAGTGGTCAGGCCTTGTTGGTGATTTGTTTTAATCATTCATGATGAGATTCCAACATTACGTGCACCCAGCTCATTTAAAATAAGACCAAAGCAGTCTAATGGGAGCAGCACAAATTAGCACGGACATCAACCGGTCGACCCATTAATGATCAGGAAACCTGCAATTTAGCAACAACACGCAGCGTGTGCCTTTGTTTGCTACAACACGTGTCACATTATCAGTTGATGTATTTGAGATGCACCATTTGGCTCCAATCACTGACAACTTTAATGAGTTTACTCATGGACATCATTAAGCTTATTTTAGGCTACCTGCATCCTCCTTAAAATGTCCCTAAGCCTCCGACAGTTCTGGTAATAACATATTCATACTCCTATATTGGTATGATGATATCTACATATATGTAAAAGACAAAGACTATGATTCAAAATTGATAATAATAAACATTTTCATTTGATGAAATTGATTCAAGACAGACCTAATGTTATCATATCTGCATTGCCACCCATCCATCTTTCGCTTAATCTGGGGTTGGGTTTAAGAAGAGAGACACACACTTTCCTCTCCACAGCTCCATGTGCCAGCTGGGAGAAACATGTCCCAGTCTTTCTCTGGATGTCCGACCAGTGGGATGTGCCCAAAACACCTCACCGGGAAGGCATCCTAACCAGAGAGCTGAGCCATCTTAATTGACTTCTCTATGTGGAGGAGCAGCTGTAAAATGTCATGAAAGTGGATAACAGGTCATCATACAAGGCTTTCTAAGTCCATGGGTGCTAATAAGCTTCTGTTATCTAATAAAATCTCTGAGTTTACACCAATTATGTTTTGTTCTAGGTTTAGGAAATTTAACAGGTGAAGTAACAGGGAAATAGGACATGACCCGACTACAATCAGTGATCTGGGTCGTTACTGACTAAGGATTTTAAATGGTCAAAAATCTAATACACATAAAGAGAAACTGTAAAAGTTTCTCTTAAAAGTTTCTCTTAATGGCACAGTGCACAGATGGAAAAGAAAATATTTCCATTGTTTTGTCTTTATGCAGTAGAATGTAACAAGTCTAGCAACAATCTGTGCCTCTCAAGAACGCTGGACCATAAACAGTGACAACTTTTAAAATTATAGGAAACGGTGGAAGGAAAACCACCAAGTAGTACTCTTTAGGAAACCCAAATACTCATTTCTCTCCCAAACACAGGAAAACAATAGACTTAAAAAAAAACACAATTACTGATAAGAGATAAATAGGCACAAAACTGCTGCCATGGTGCACAAGTGTTTCTCCGAGTTCAGCACAAGGAAGTGTTGCAACCTCTTCTCCTGCTTGAGCTCAATAAGGCCATTACCATTGGGATTTCCAATGAGCAGCTGCACACACCTAAAAATGCCACCATATATTTCCCCCCTAATGAATTAGTGGCTTCCTGTTCAGAGCTACAAAGTCATTTAGCATCTTCTCAAGTTTGATTCAACTTGCTCCCTGTTTGTAGGTACAAATACAGCCAAAGTCAAAGGAATCTCGGTTTGTTATTGTCAGCAGATTATAAATGAGGGAAAAACAATACTACATTCAAACCTGTTTTAATTGCACAATCCTAACCCATAAATCAGGTCGAAACAAAGGCACATACTGAATGTAGGATCATTGTTCTCACTTTATCTACACAAAACCATTGACAAGCAAGCAGGCAAGCAGCAGGGCGACAGGAATTTAGCCTGGCCAGTGTCCAGGCTAACATGAACAAAGGAACGAAGAGGTTGAAGAGTCCCCGATATTTATTGTTCAGCACCTCGTTTCAGATATGGCTGGTGTTAAAGCGCTTTATAAAAAAGAGTTGTTGACGATAAAAGATAACAGAATGAATAGCCAACTTGAAATCTGTTGAAAATATATTTGTTTTACATGCCTTCTTTGCATACTTTATGCAGAGGTTGTGTATTCTGGTCCTTAAGGGCAATCGTCCTCCAAGTTCCAGGGGTTTCCCTAATTGAATTCACCTCAATCAAATCAATACATGGCTAGCAGCTAATGCAAAAACACATGGCAGAATTACACTTCTACTAAGCCCAGCAAACAAAATATCCTTCAGTTGAACTCTCCGAAATTAATTGTAGGATAATAACGGAGGGTAATTTTTGTGATGGATGGGGGATGTTGGAAATGTAGCGTTTCTTAAATTTTAATGTGTCAAATTTGCAAAGTCAAATGTATTTTAAGTGACCCTTGACATTTTTGTAACAACTGAATGTAAGATAGTTACTGATTTTGCTATAAGAAGGAATTATATGCCTGGAAATACATAGCACCTCCACAGCCTCCTTCTATAATGCAGTCCTGAGAGGTATTAACTTTTGTACACAACATGCATTCAGTCTGTCACTATATATGCAATGGTGGTAATGATAAACTCAAAAGCTGTAATAACGGCGAGGTGTTTTTAATGTATTGGCTATTTTAATGATTGGCTGAGTATATAAATGCTTATTTTTCACATTTAATTTGCAAAAAACAAAAAAAAAAAAAGGAAAAACATCCATTTTCTTCAACATTCCAGTTGTGCACCATGTTGTGTTTGTCGGGCCCTAAAACTCTTCTGGGTCTGTCTATTAAAATTCTGATAAAATACACTTGCGTCCATGGTTGTAATCTGACAAAATGGGGAGAATTGCAAGTAATTCAGCAATTTCAAGTCAAGGCACTGTATGTTCCTGACTAAAAAGATTGCAGGATATTTTAGTGAAACATAAAAAAAAAAAGCCATCTGACTCTAAATAATCTTTCCTTACTCCTGTAGTGCCACATTCTGGTTGTGATTTTTTTTTCTAGAATGCCTTGAATTCTTAAACACCTGACTTTTACTTTTGTACCACCAGCAAAGCGAACTTCTCAGGTTTTAAGTGAAATGTCATTCAGAACCCAATACAGCAAGATTTATATATTTAGTTGCGTTGATAAGGCTGTATGCAGCTTTAAGAGATCTACATTTTTACAACAAAATGGAGAGATGTTGTGGCTCACAACATGTAAGGTAGGGCATGTATTCGACATAAAAAATCTGATCTTGCAACAAGACCTTTTGCTATACTGTAAGGCTTGTACTGAAAAAAAAAAAAAACAACATTCAGCTGTTCACTGCTGATTTCAGCAGTGTAATTGGTGATGTTCGTCACACAACATGTCAAAAGAGTGAAATAGGAAGGAGAGAGGGCTGTGTTGAGGACTGTTGTCATGGCAACAGTCATAGGAAAAGTTTATGAAATGAGAAAAGCGGTGATACATCGACATGGCAAATGTCAGAGGAGATGGTTCATAATGGTGTAAGGGTTGTGTTCCATTACACCTGACAGGAGTTGCCGGTTACTTAGTGAGCTGGAGTGCAGACTCAGAGATCTTTGTGTCAGCAGGAAAGATACATAGAGCTGGAGCATGGAGGACACAGGCAGATGTCGAAGTTGGCAAGAACTGAGGAAGGAAAGACAGCAGCAGCAGTTGGGAGCTCCTCGGTGACAAAGAGACAGAAAGTGGAGGAGGGTGTGTTTTCTTTTTTTTTTTTGTGGCTCAAGATGGTAAAAAGTCTTGATTTTCTGGATCGTCGAGGGAACTTTTTCCCGTCTTTTCTTTGCAGAATTGCTTTATTTCAACAGCATTAAAAGGTTTTCTCCATTTAGAGGTGGATGGCGGGTTTTCAATAGTTGTCCAGCTGCATCACTGAAGTGATTATGCTTTATAAATTCTAAAGGATGCTTTCAAAAAAAGTTACCAATGCGCAACACATATTTTTGCCCAAAACGTAAGACAACACCTCAGGTTCTGCTCAATAAGGACAGAGAAACACCTGCATAAATACCCAGATATTTGGATTCATGTCTCTCAATCTTGAAAGAGGGGAGAAAGCTCACCATATTTTATTTTGACAGAACATGACTTTTATTTTTATTTTTTTCTTAAATAACATGGGAACAGAATCTAATAATTCTTAGGAGATCATTAGAAAAGCAGACCTTTTTTCATGGTGCATGAAAGAAAGTATTTTCCAACCCAAAACGGACATTTTCTGTTTTCCAGCTAAGAGTTATGGCCTCAAAATTAAGTTACATTTTTATCTCGATTGCTTCCCATCCAGTGTGAGCCAGGCTCTCACTTTCAGCTGTCGGCTACAGTGAAAGTTAACAATGGTAACAACTGATACTAATGAACCATCCACATAAAATAATAATTGGTAGGCTGAGATCTGATTATCAAATCACACAAAAGAGCAAAAATTGCCATCATATTTAATTAATCAGGCAGCCAATTCTCAATAAAAAAAAAGACGCAGTAGAAAAGAATGAACCAGAATAAAAAAGCTGTAAGGGATCACAAATTCATGAATTTCAAGGTTTTAAACGTTTTTCCATCCCTATGACAGTTTTTTGGGATACAATTTAGTTGGACATGAAAGTCTAGATATCAACTCAGACGAAATACTATCGAGCATTATGGGAACATCGAGTTTCACAATCCTCCAAAAGACGTGTAAATGTTGTAATAACAGTCTCACACTTAAAAAAAGAGGACATTTTGAAAAGCTGTTAAAATGAGTACATTTATTCAGTGGGGGAGAGGGCACATGAAAAAACAAAAAAAACAAACTAAGAAATAAAATTGGGAAATAACATAAACAAATAATTAAAATCATAAAAGATAAAAAAAAAGAAATTTAAAAATGATCAAAATATTTGTAAGCACAATTAAAATCTAGCTAAAACATGACAGAAAAAATGTTAACAGATAATAATAAACATAAGCCATTTTAAACAAATGGGTCTTTCTGAATTAAAAAAAAAAATCTATATTTTACTGATTTCAGCTGACTAGACTTACTAGGAACTGTTAAGTTGTGATCCAGGACTTCTTATTTCCCTTGGAAATAAATATGACATAACACAGAGACCAATTTCTCTCAGCAGCTTTTCCAAATATTAAACACAAGTGGTCCAAAAGATGCTGGGGACACATTACATGGCTTTGGATCTGGTATTTCAGGTTGTGAGCTTGTAGGTCTTGGATTCACAACCAATGCCAGCTTTCATCAAAAAGAAAATGTTAGCTCTTTGCAGCTAACATGTTTGGCTGGATCATACAAATAAACATTAACAGTGAATAATAAATTTGTTTAATCATTCAAAAATGTCAGTTTGTTATATTAATCTCCATTGACTTTATGTGTAATAATGTCAACTGTTTGGTTTATTTTAATTGGATTATTATTTACGGTTTTCTTCTTGAATATCTGTGTTCTTTTATCAGTAATTGTAATTTGCTAGTTAAAAGTTTTGAATTATGGCCAGTGAATGTATCTACATAATGTTGTTGTTGGAAATAAAACATGAAAAAAAAAGAAAAAAAAAAGTTTGTTCTCAGACTCTCCTTTTCACTGGCTATTGGTAACACACTTTAGCATTTGGACAGGTTATCAGTTCCAAGTGTGTCCAGAAAAATCCAAACATGTTTTTGACAATGACTGAGGTCGGGTTGGCTCCAGTCTCTATCATATCTTGGGGCTAGAAGGTTTTTATGCCATCTCACCTTGTTGAGTTGGTACAGAGCAGATTTTCCCCGACTAATAACTGAGGGTAAAATCAGGTGAAAAATCTTGTAATGTGTTCCCAGCTTTAGTCCATTTAATCCACACGAAATAGGTTTAATTACATTGCTACTTTAAACTTGCCCATATCCACAACTTGAGCAAAACTGTTTCAAAACAAGGGCAATTAAGTTTATTTTGCCACCATACTCAAAGAGGGAATTGGTAACAGGAGGCAAAAAAGTCTCCAAAGCTTTGGCTTAAAGCTTTTAATACATTTTTACCAGAAGCGTCCATAAATTTGTGGTGCGTTGCACGCGATTGTCTTTTTGTGGTTTTGGTAGGAATCACAGTTTTTCCTCTGCAGAAATTCTAAAATTGTAATGAGATGCCACTCAAATTCAGCAGTAAAGCACTTTTGTATATTCAGAGAGTGTGATCACCGAGAAAAACACAAACATAGAAAATGCGAGGACCAAGAAACATAATTCAATTGATATAAACGTACAAGTCCAGAACTTAACCGTGATAAGGGAATTTAATAATACAGTACTAAATTGTCTCCAAGTGTAACAGTATTAGTTATCTACATATTTTCAGATCAGACACACATGGCTCCTCATAAATAACATGCATGGATCTGACTTTTGGAGACTAATCAAAACTAAAACCAAATCAAACAGCACTTTACAAAATGTTACCATACATACAGTAACTCTAAATCAAACTCTGCATTTATATACAGTACAAAATGCTTTAGACTGTTGATCCATAGGCTCTACAACTGCCAACTCATAGCAAAGGACCGACAATAACTGTAGAAAATAAGAGAAAAATATATTCTGAAATAATATTACCACATTTAGAACAGTAAAACGTGTTTTAAAGAAAAAACAAGAAGTAAAATCAAAAGATAAATATCGAGCTTGGTAGAAGACAAAAAAACATACATTTAAGCAACAATACAATTTTCACTTTTGAGCCTTTTAACTATGCTGCTTTGTGGAAATTCAAGTCTTGAAAATTGTTGCTTGACCATGTCTGAGAACCGTAATGGAATCAAAAGTAGCAGAGTCATCTACTCAGTTTTCAAGGTGAGGTCTTCAGTTAAACTACAGCCATCACATTGGTTTTTCACTCTTTCGTATATATATTTTTTCCATTCTCTCCCTCCTTATGATGAAGGCATTCAGGTGAGTTTCTCTTTTAGTTCCAACGGAAAGACCCAGAACCTCTTATGCTGTGTTCTTAATTGCATTCTCATTAAGCTTTTCCATGTAGTTCCTAAGATCCTTTGAGTCTCCAAGCTCAATGTCTGGACAAACCCATTTTATATCACTGGTCTGCACCAGTGGCAACGGGCTAAGCACTGGACATCCATTGCTAGACTTTACATTAGAGAAAGTGGAGAACTTCACTCTCTTCCTCTTGGTGGTCGGTGAGTTAAGTGATTCATTCCTCAGATCTCTTCCACTTGAGCTACTTCCGCCGCCATCTGTAATACTGCGCTGGATACCTCCATTTAAAAGCTGACTACCTTCCTCCAAGGTACCAGTCAATTCTTCATGCTGCTGTTGCTGCAGACAAAGCCCCTCTTCTTGGCCAAGCCAAACCCAGTCATGGGCATGGGGCATAGTCTCCGTGGCCTCTAGAGATAGGTGTTTACTTCGGTACTTATATGTATAAGAGATGCAGTTGATGAGAAAAACGAGGATGGCCAAGCAGAAGACTCCCAGCAGTGCATACATGCCGATCTCCAGGTCTGTCAGGCCGCGTCGTGAAGGCAATAAGTCATCATCGGTACTGCGACTCCGAGGCAGCTCTGGGTATTCAGAAAAGTCATTTAAGTTTCTGTTCCCACTGTCTGATGATAAGCGACCCCCGTTAGGTCTCACTGGGACTTGGCCTCTAATGGTGGTGGCTGCACGGTTTATTAACCCAGTGTCCATGTCGGAGATGGATCCACCATAATACGGAGGATCCGGACGTGTCCTTTTGTCTCCCGGCTGCCTGTAATGCTCCTCTGACTGACCAAACCTAACCTGTACATTCACCATTCCTGTGGCTAAAGCAGAGCGTCGTTTGGACTTCTGGCACACTTCCGATGGACTCATCTCAACACGCACAAGCAAACCTTGGCCTTCACCCTTGGCAGCAACGAGAGGCCACTTCCACTTCGCGCTCTGCTGCACAACTACCACCTGTTCATTCAGAGATGTGGCTGCCAGGATAAAATGGGCAGGGTTGTAGTTGTCCAGAGGAGTCATAGATCCATCACTGAACTGAAGCCAGGCACTGATGAGGGATTCCTGTGAAAACAAACATGCAACGTAGCAAATTTAAATTGGTGCGACACCAGTACCCTGGAAATTAGCAACAAAAACACAAATAGAAATCTACAGATTTCCTTCAAATGAGGACCAAAATAAACCAGAGGCACAAGGGAAGCAGTAGTGGGTTTTAATTATGGTAAAAAGGCTGAACAACTCTCATGGGTCATGGCTGTTCCCTAAATTTCAAACAACATGAAGAAAACTTTAATATATGAGAAATATTCTAAGAGAAAATAAACCAGCACTAACTCTGTGCCAGCCGTGAACTAGTTCTAAAAATATAATTCACAAAATCTATTTTTTATAAGAGGCAATACAAGGACCTAATACGTTTAACACTAATGGCACATCGTGACAAATTAAAGGAACATGGATAGAATCTTACCTGCGTCAGTGACTCTATGACTTCCTGTGTGCTTGCAGTAGCAACAATGGCTCTGTTGCTTCCAGGGCTCAGTTGCAGGGACAAAGAGAGTCCAGAAACCAACTGCACACCAAGCTCTGTCACACTCACTTTATCATCCACCACCCTGATGGTCCTCTCAGCCAGGACTGACGACGTCAGAGGGGACAGAACCTATAGCAGGCAAAATAAAGGTTTTTAAAACTCATTTCTTCTTTTTTCTAGTAGTTCTTAAGCCAACAATTTCACAAACATTTTTTTACGAATGTACCTCAAAAAAAAAATAAAAACCCCCCCCCCCCCCCACAAATTTTGAAGATATATATATATATATATTCTAACAAATTAATTAGATATGTTTTATAGGAGGTAGCAATGCTTACAGACTTGTTACATATGGTAAAACCTCACTATGCTGTGTGTGCACAATTATTAGGGAAAATGGTATTTTGACCATGTTATTATTTTTAGGTATATTTTTAACCACAAACTGGATACACTTGAAAGTTTAATGGATTTAAGCATACCAGGTGATCTGTATAATGAGGAAGTGTGTGTCCTACTGATGTCAACACCCTATATCAAGGTGTGAATAATTATTAGTCAACTTCTTTCCTTTAGGCAAAAAATAGGCAAAAAAAAAGAGATTTAACTGACTCTGAAGAGACAAAAATGACAAAAATGACCAAAAGTGTCTTAGTGAGATGCAGGACTCTTGAAATTGCTAAGATATTGGGGCATGATGGTACAGAACCATCATGCAAAATGCCAACAAGGTCACAAGAAACGTGTTGAGAAAAAGCTGCCAAGAATTTGAGAAGAATCAAGTGTGAAGATACCAGCAGCTCATTACTGTCCAGTTCTGTCACATTCCATAACTACAACCTGCCTGGTGTACGTAGAAGTACACAATGTTTAGAGTTTGCCAAGGTAAGGAAAGCTGAAACCTGACCAACAAGACAGACAGACTGAAGAAATATCTGAAGACAGATTTTTCAAAGGTTTTCTGGACCAATAAAGCGAGAGTGACTTTTGACAGACTAGATGGATGGGTCCACGGCCGGATGGCATGGTCCCCTTCCTGACCTGAACCCAGTTGAGAACTTGTGGTATGAGGAAACTGACAGAAGGGTTTTCCCATAAGTCTTTCACTGTTATTGAAAAAAGAGGGTGGGTGTATGGGTCACTGATTCTTTCTGCTTTTTATGTCAGAAATATTTATTGGAAAATTCCGAGTTGTTCGTAATTTTCAATCAATCGGACGAAAATGAAAAAAAAAAAAAAAAAAAAGATCCTACATGTTCTTCCTTGAACATTCATATTTGAGGTTCATTAACATTTTAGGTTGACCAAAAGTACTAAGAGAAAATAACAAACATAAGACGTCTTCAATCATTGCACACACAATGCACATTAGGCTCCGATAAAAAAAAAAAAAAGCACACAACAAAACTGCTTTCTAACCCACACCTTCGGAAGGAATGCCCCAACCTTCAGAGTAGCCAGAGGTGTAAGCATGTAAATAGCTGTGATATTGTTTTGAGATGAGAATCTCTTCCATCCGCTCCAATTAGGGCTCCAGTATTTCCTGCAGCCTCCCCCACAGAGCTGCATTTACCAGCCATAATGAACTGTCAGCACCGATCACCGCCTCATTTGTCCAGACCCAATACCCCGTTTCCCTCCTTTTGTATTTTTCCTTTTTTGTTTCTCACACAGTCAAAGTGAACGGATGAATACCCTTGAATTGTCAAAAGCAAACAGTGTGGTCTCAGAACCGCATATGCATTTTGAAATGCCTAAGCAATTGCTTATGATTTGTGGGGACACAAAAGTTATGTGAGAAATGCATATATGATGAGACAGACAAAATCTAAAAGCGCAACAAGCAAATAACATGTTCCGCTTTTGTTTTCATTCATTATTGACTGATTCTTTAGCAAAAGAATAATCTGACACCCCAATGTTATGAATCTTATTATCAGAACTTGCAATTTTATGTTTTTATATATAATGCTACTCCTATGAGGTATATAAAATATAAACTCAGGTTAATTTGTTGTTATCTAGACGTTAGAGGCATACTTGAACTCTTAAAGTGGCTCTTTAACCACTGTGTAAGAGAATAAAAGGGTGTGTAATGTACCTATTAAAAGACACAACACTCCAAGTATCTTTCAACCCTAATAGAAAAGACTTATAATCTATAAAAACGTCTGACATCTCAGAGAGAGCTCTGCTGATGCTGTGTTTCTCCTTCAAAAAGATCATCTTCTCTTCCACCTAACATCTGAGTACCAGCTAGCAGCTGTCCAGACTCTCCAGTGCTTATATCCCGACATGCTGAGGCTCTTCTTCAAGATTCTGTAATGGTACTTCTTGTCCTTAATACCAGAGCCATGTCTCGCCTCCATCCCATCACAGAAACTGTGGATTCTGCCTTTCACCTACATTCCATAATTGTGAAATTTCCCCACAAGGCTTACAGGTGTGTCAAGACCCTTCCTCTAAAATCAGTTTTCAAGTTTACAGATTTATTCATTCTGTCCCCAGAGAGCAATTAAAGAGTC